TACAGGCACGCGCTACCACACCTGGCTAATTTTTTTTTATTTATTGTGGAGATGAGGTCTTGCCAAGTTACCCAGGTGGGTCTCGAACCCGCAGGCTCAGGCAGTCCACTCACCTCAGCCTCCCAAGGTGCGGGACTACAGGCTGAGCCACCGAGCCCGGCTTACATTCTCCATTCTTAAGCTATCAAATCTGAGTCCTTCAAATGTTCAAAAACAAACCTGAAGCTCTAATAAACATCTGACAACCTGAATAGTTCCAAAGCAAAAAGGATATTAATGACACAGGTGGGACATGATCTCTCATCTGGTCAATTGGGAGGATTCCACTGCAAATCATTTCTGCCTTGGTAGACACAAAAGATGGCATCACCAGGCCCGGGCAGTCACATAAGCAGAGACCAGGCTCCACATAGAGAGTCTAAAAGACAAGTAAGTGGTATATGCTGGGCATACAGTAAATGAAAGGAAGGAAACATTGCATCTGAGTGACAGAGAGCTGTGGAAATACCTGAAAATGCTTGGTGTGACCAGGGGTGGCAGACACAGATACCTTCTTGTTGCCCATGATTGTGTTGATTGTTGAACTTTTACCAACATTAGGGTAGCCCACCTAGAAGAGACTCAAAAGTTACTGAATAGTCAAACAGTACGTCCGTCAAACTCAAAGGTATTACATACATGGTAACAACACTAGTCTATGCATTTGGATACTTCAGAAGATTATTTGAAGTAGATGCTCTGAGTGTTTGCTGACAGACATCTTTTCCACCCTGTGGTGTGGGTATATTTATTCAGACACATCTTCAGCGACACATGGTCAAACTAAATACATTTTATTTTCATAGAGTTTGCTGTTAACAGCAGATGCTACAGAAATCCTCTACCTCTGTTCCCAGTTTTCCCTTGCAGCCACACCTATAGGCTTTTCTATTGCATCTCCCTTCACTGGGTGAAACTGAGACTCAATCAAACATTTTAATGATCACAACACATAATTTTTTTTTTTTGAGTTGGATTCTCACTCTGTTGCCCAGGATGGAGTGCAGTGGCACACTCATGGCCTCCACAGCCTCGACCTGCTGGGTTCAATCGATCCTTCCACCTCAGTCTTCCAAGTAGCTGGAACTACAGGCATGCGCAACCATGCTCAGCTAATTTTTTGATGTATTATAAAGATGAGGTCTCGTCAAATTGCCTGGACTGATCCCGAACCCATGAGCTCAGGCTCCCAAAGTGCTGGGATTATAGGCATGAGCCACCATGCCAGGCCACACACAATTATTTTTAATTTTATTAATGTTTTAGTTAGGGCCCAGCAGAATGCCTAGATTGTGGCAGATGAATAAATGTGTGTAGAATGAGTAACTTAACCTATTCTCAGGATTTCTAGATCAAGAAACTCAGAAAAAGAGGGAAGCCACGCAGTGTCTCCATAAATGTGAGAAATAAACTAACTTGCAGAAAAGTTGGGCTGAGACATTTGGAAATGAAATTTTAGCAAAAGAGAATAAAACCTTAAAGCTGAGAGAAATTAAGTAACTTTCCCAATGTTCATAACAAGCAAGTTAGTTGTACTGCAGAACTGGAATTATACCCAGGTCTTCCTGACTCCAGAGATAACTATTTTAATTAGTGTACTAAAATAAAATGTCAATCTGCTTTAGTTATTTTAAGTAGGCATTTTTGGGGGTAGGAGGAAGGAAAGACAGGAACTCAAAAATAATTGAGATTAGCTACACTTGTCATGTAACTGAAGAGCTGGGAGACTTTAAACCTGCCACAATCTCCATTCCCTCACTGTTCTGTTCTGGATAGATCTTTATGATAAATATCTTCTCTAACATCTCACATTTCCTTAGCTAAGGATGGAGCCATCTAAAGCCACGTTGTATCCTCTTGGAGTCTGGGCATTTTCCACAGCTGTTTCTGAAACGAGGGTGCATACAGTTGGGGATGTGATCTGCTTTCCCCTACTTACTATGTAGTCTTTACGTAACTAAAGCATCTGTAATATTTTGCTTGGCTTCAGGATGTTGGGATTCTCCCTAATATGCATCTGGAACATTTACAGTATAAATTGGCAAGGATCACAGGATACCCAAAGAACACTGGACCAGATGTCTGAAGACAGCATTAAAGCTTCTTGGTACTTCACATGACAGGAAAAGCTGAATGGGAGGGAGACTAGAGAATAAATTTAATATGAACAGGTATTCCCAATATAAGCTTTAAAGAAGTTCATTCCTTTGAGTTACACTCTGCCTGCCATGCTACCTAATCCCATGATGCCAGTGAGCAACATAAAGACAATAATATTCCCGGTGCTGCCAGAAGCCTGACTGGTCTCTGGGGTCCTTGTGGAGCTAACAAAGGACAAGGAATGAAGACCCTCACATGGTAACAATCTTATGACATATTTCTTCTTACCAGTCCAACGGTAAGTTGTCCATCCTTCACCTTCTTCCCAGTGTGCAGCTGCTTAAAGAGCTCCAGTAACTCTTGTTTTGATACCAGGTGGCTATAATTGTGTGTCTGCCTCTTCTGTGGAGTTTTCCTGCCTTGAGCCTCAGAGTCTACAGTACAGCTCTCCTTCCAGTCCTGGTCATGGGCCTCTTTGTCAGGGCTGCTGTCTTCTTCTGAACACGTCTGCCAATCTTCTTCCTCCTCCTCCTGACAGTCTTCATACTCACTACTGTCTTCATCAGTAGTGGGATCTTCACTAAGTGAGAGAGAATATCTGCCTGGGAGATGTTCTGTCTCACTGTATGGAATTTCAGCCTCATCAAAACTGGAGTTTTCAAACTCAGTTGTGTTGCTTCTTCTATCATCTCCGTTTTCTTGTTCCTGATCAGAGAAACCACAAAAGTTCATAAGTATATAACTGAATTTTCTGCTCTAGCCAAGATACTCAGTGAATTGGTTATGCCAGATGAACAGAGGGCAAGCAAAGAGGAGATGACGGAAACCTTTCAGGGCAAGGACAGACAACCAAAGCATTGTGACCTCTGGGAGGGGAGAACGCAGAACTTCACTTTTACCTTATACATTTCTGTATCATTTGAACTTTGTACAAATAACATCTATTACTTTTGTAATTTAAAACAGCTCTTAAAAGAAATCAAGAAGAAGTCTTTGGCAATACATTACTCTATAGTGGACTACAGAATAAAACAAAGCATATTTCATGAACAAAACAGCATGTAACATTCTCTTTTCTGCACAAACAAGAAGGATATAATTTGTAATTTATGCCTTATTTATTTATTTATTTTTCAGTTGGAGTCTCACTCTGTCACCCAGACTGGAGTGCAGTGGCACACTCCTGGCCACCCAGCCTCGATCTGCTAGGCTCCGGCGATCCTTCCGCCTCAGCCTTCCAAGTAGCTGGAACTACAGGCGTGTGCTACCACGCCCGGCTAATTTTTTTGATTTTTTGTAGAGATGAGGTCTCGCCAAGTTGCCTAGGGACTCAGGCAATTTACTCACCTTGGCCTCCCAAGGCACAGGATTACAGGCTGAGCCACCAAGCCTGGCTATGCTTTGTTTTAAATTTGCCTTTTTAAAGACAGTGGTTTGCATGTTTAAAAAAACTGCTAACCCTTTATATTGCCTATAATAAGTCCAAGCACTGTGAAGCTTGTGTGTGATATGCAGTAGTAAAACTCAACTCCATTTGTGGAAATTTACCAATGAAAGATTCTCTTTGAAAAGGCAAAGATAGCCAGGCACAGTGAGTGGCTCATGCCTGTAATCCCAGCACTTTGGGAGGTGTAGGAGAGGATTGCCTGAGTCCAGGGGCTCAATGCCAGCCTGGGCAACTTGGCAAGACATTGTCTCTACAATAAATTAAAAAATTAACCAGGCGTGATGGTGCATGCCTGTGGTTCCAGATACTTGGAAGGTTGAGGTAGAAGGATCACCTGAGTCTAGCAGGTTGAGCCTGCGGTAGCCATGAGTGTGCCACTGCACTCCAGCCTGGGTGACAGAGTGAGATTCCTACTCCAAAAAAAAAAGAGAAAGGTAAAAACCATTTACTATTCATGGATGTGTTAATTCTCCTGACTCTCTATTGACAAGAAAGAAGAAATAAGGCAATTGACAGCATTACTAATTCTTATCAACAAAGGTGAATTAGTTGGAATTGGAAAGTGACACAAACCTTGTATCATTTCCAAATAATTTAGTGTTAGAATAATTAACAGTCACAGAAGGGGACACATTGAATAAATTTCCAAATTTTAGGGAAGCAGAGATAAAAACAAAATGTTGGGAAAAATAAGTATGATTTCATGATCGTGCCTGGCTACCCAGAAAGAAACCTGGCCTATGAGAGAATGATAAAATTGGAAGAAATGTCTATGATAAATGAGCTATGAATGTAAAAAAGTCAGTGTGTCCTCACTGTGAATTCTTGAGTTATTTTAAAATATGAAAGAAGCAAAAAACAAGAATGTGAACTGAGCATGAATGTATAGAAAAACTACAGCTAGAAGCAGTTCCGCTTCAAGAAAAATACTCAGGATGACAAAAGGATTTTGCCACAATTGTATGTTAAAAAGGAAAAGTCAATCTTTTGGGAACACTATAATTTAAAGATGACCAAAGGAAAGCAAGTACTCAACTCAGAAAATGTTACATTTTTCAAAACAAGTTGAACTGAAGATGAACCAAACTCTGACAAGTAAGAGCACAATGAATATCAAGCTATTTTTAATAAGTTCATGTTTGATACTTAAATTAGATATTGTTACACATATAATATCACAACCTGAGAAATCATGGAGAAAAGGAGAGTCCAAAAAACGTGGGAGACACAAATGGTGCCTAACTTTCAAAAAGGAAGAAAGAATATCTTCCATAAACCACACACTGTTAATCCAGAGATTGATGTTGAAATAATTAGACAAGTTAGCTGGTAAGCCCTAAAAATAAGACAATCATCAACAGGAATCAACAAGCATTCCCTGAGAACTGATCATGCAAATAATTCCATTACTCTTTGGAATCTATTACTTGGTAGGTAGAGCAAGTAAAGTCACAGATGTAGAAACAAATCCTTTTCCATTTTTGATAGGGTGATTGGATTGGTGCATCAAGGCTGAGCAATATAATATTTATTTTAAAACTTAAGTAAGATATTGACTTCCACTTAGGATATAAAACCAGTGAGCAAAAATCAGCTGCACTTCTACACACAAATGACAAAGCAGACTGAGAACCAAATCAAAAACATAGTAAAACAAACAAACAAAAACCCTTGGTATTCATCTAACCAAAGAGAGGTGAAAGACCTTTACAATGAGAACTACAAAGCACTGCTCTAAGAAATGAAGGAACATCCCATGCTCACAGATTGGAAGAATCAATATTGTCAAGATGTCCATACTTCCCAAAGCAATCTACAGACTCAACACAAACTCTATCAAGCAAACTACCAGCAACATTTTTCACAGACTTAGAAAAGATAATACTTAAATTCATATGGAAGCAAAGATGAGCCCACATAGCTAAAGCAATCCTTGGCAAAAATAACAAAGCTGGTGGCATCACATTCCCAGGCTTCAGACTTGACTACATGGCGATAGTAACCAAAACAGCATGGTATTATCAAAACAGCGAGTGAGGTACTGATACAAAAATTGACACATAGACCAATGAATAGGATAGAGAACCCAGAAATAAAACCACAGATCTTCAACCAACTAATCTTTGACAAAGCTGACAAAAACAAACACGGAAAGCTGGGCATGATGGCTCACACCTGTAATTACAGTACTTTGAGAGGCCAAGGCATGAGAATTGAGTCCAGGAGTCTGAGACCAGGACCAGCCAGGGCAACATAGTGAGACTTTGTCTTTACAAAAATATGAAAAAATTATCTAGGCCTAGTGGCATGCACCTGTAGTCCCAGCTACTTGGGAAGCTGAGGCAGAAGGATAACCTGAGTCCAGGAGGGTGAGACTGTAGTGAGCCATGATTATGCCGCTGCACTCCAGCTTGGGTGAGGACCTGGCTCAAAACAAAAACATAAACAGTGGGGAAAGGAAACCCTATTTAGCAAATGGTGCTGGGAAAACTGGCTAACCACATGCAGAAGAACAAAACTAGACCCCTACCTATCACCATATACAAACATTAATGCAAAATGGATAAAGAACTTAAATGTGAAGCCTCAAGCTATAAGAATCTTAGGAGAAAGCCTAAGGAACACTCTCCTAGATATTGGCCTAGGCAATGAATTCAAAGCCAAATTCTCAAAAGCAAATGTAGGAAAAACTAAAATTGACAGGTGGGACATTATTAAGCTAAACAGCATCTGCACAGCAGAGGAAACCAAGAGGGTAAAGAGACAATCCACAGAATAGGAAAAAATATTTGCAAACTATGCATCCAACAAAGGTCTAACATCCAGGATCTGTAAGAAAGGAACTCAAATGAACTGACAGAAAACAGACAAACAGATAGCCCCATTGAAAGGTGTGCAAAGGACATGAACAGACTCCTCTCAGGAATACATACAAGCATCTAATAAACATATGAAAAAGTGCTCAGCATCACTAATCATCAGAGAAATGCAAACCAAAACTACGGTGAGATACCATCTCATACTGGTCAGAATGGCTATTATTAAAAAGTTAAAAGCAACAGGTGTTGGCGAGGCTGTGGAGAAAAGGGAACACTCGTATACTATTGGTGGGAATGTAAGCTAGTTTAACCTTTGTGGAAAGCAAAGTTTGGAGATTTCTCAAAGAACTATAAAAATAGAGCTACCATTTGACCCAGCAGTCCCACTTCTGGGAATACACCCAGAGGAACATAAATCGCTCTATCCAAAAGACACTTGCACTTGTATGTTTACTGCAGTGCTATTCGGGATAGCAAAAACATGAAACCAATCCAGATGCCCACTGAAGGTAGACTGGATAAAGAAAATGTGGTACATATATACTGTGGAATACTACACAGCTGTAATGAAGAACAAAACCATGTCCTTTGCAGCAACATAGATACAGCTGGAGACCATCATTCTAAGTGAGTTATCACAGAAACAAAACAGTGAATACTGCATGTTTTCACTCATAAGTGGGCACTAAGCAGTAGGTACATATGGGCACAAGGATGGGAACAGACACTTTGGCATTGCTTCAGGAAGGAGGGAAAAAGGGAGGAGAGGAGGATAAGACATACAAAACCACAGGTTCCTCTGATTCTTTGGTATCACAACTTCCAGGAAAGATATGAAACAACAGAAATAATGGTTTAAGAGAGTAAACTATGGAGCCAGACTGCCCTGAGGATATTAAGTATCTATATTTATTGCCAGGAAGATCAAATGAATAAAGTATGTGTTAATAATAGTGGTGCCTGGGCTGGATGTGGTCACTCATGCCTGTAATCCTAGCACTTTGGGAGGCCAAGGCAAGACCGCTTCAGCCCAAGAGTTTGAGATCAGCTGGGCCATATAGCAAGACATTGCCTCTACAAAAAAATGGTCCCAGCTAGTCAGGAGGCTGAGGTGGGAGAATTACTTGAGCCAAGGAGGTAGAGGCTACAATGAGTCGTAATCATGCCTGGGATCATGCCTGCACTCCAGCCTGGGAAAACAGTGAGTACCTGGCAGAAAATAAGTTTTTATTAACTTATTAATTTTATGGGTTAGTTTTTATTAACAATAGTAATAATAATTATTATATTCTGGGAAATGTGTCCATATTCACATAAAAATGCTTGGTATAGACAAAAGGTCTCAGAGCTCTATCCTTTTCAACAGTGTCACCAATAACATGAAACAATGTACAGGACAACTACACAAAGTCTACAAATGATTCGAAGCTAGATGTGGATAAAAGCAAACTGCACATTCAAAAATGAACTCTACTGCTAGGCACAGTGGCTCACATGTGCAATCCCAGCATTTTGGGAGGCAGAGGAAAGATTACCTGAGCTCAGTAGTTCAAGACCAGCCTAAGCAACATGGCGGGACCTCGTCTCTATAATAAATCAAAAAATTAGCTGGGAGTGGTCCAGTCACTTGGAAGGCTGAGGCAGAAGGATCACCTGAGCCCAGCAGGTTGGGGCTACAGTGGTCATGAGTGTGCCACTGCACTCTAGCCTAGGCAGCAGAGTAAGACTCCTACTCAAAAAAATAAAATTAAAATAAAAATTATAGCTAATACTAAAATCCAAAAAAGAAAGAAAAATTATGGCTATTATGAATGTTATACCGGGGATATCAGATTATTTGACAACAATAGAGAAAGTAACCTTGTGATACAGTTTTCTATAAGTCATCCTAATATCACAGCACACAGGGGAAAAAAAAAACCCCAATTCCCACACATCTCCAATAAGAAAAAAACAAAACACAAGCAAAGACTATTAACCAGAAAACAAAACCCTCCTTTTTGAAACTCAACCTGTAAAAGTCCCTCAGGTTACCTCAGAGACACCATTCAGCTGAGTGGCCCCAGCTAAAGCTGACCAGAAAATAACCTTCACACCTTCGTTTTCAAAGTGTTCAGCCCAGGCACTCCGCTGCTCAGCAGTCAGCAGGTCGGCCTTGTTGACCAGAATAATGTTCTCCTTGTTGGCATCTATTTCTTTCACATAACATTCCTAAGCAAGACAAAGATAAATAGGAAGTCTCTTCAAACAAGTCAAACATTAGGCTACTTATATTCAAAATCCCAATGAAAGTTTTTACTGTCCCTCAGCTTAAATCATTTTCTAATTTAAATATTTTTAATCATGGTGCATTCTAATAATCCTTTCGGTAAGCTTTGAAAAGAAATTTTACCATTACGATTTTTGTTATTCACCAGGAGATTTAAAAATAATCTGTACTAGCCGGGCTCAGTGGCTCAGCCTGTAATCCTGAGCCTTTGGGAGGCTGAGGTGAGTGGATTGCCTGAGCCCGCGGGTTCGAGACCCGCCTGGGCAGCGAGAGCTCATCTCTACAATAAATCAAAAAATCAGCCGGGTGTGATAGCACATGCCTGTAATTCTGGCCACTTGGAAGGCTGAGGCGGAAGGATCGCCGGAGCCCAGCAGGTCGAGGCTGCGGTGGCCGGGAGCGGCCACTGCACTCCAGTCTGGGCGACAGAGTGAGACTCCAACTCAAAAAAAAAAAAAAATCTGTACTATAGTCCTCAGACAGAAATATGAATACCTCTCATGAATACAGTGTTTTATTAACTCAGAGCTGGTATTGTATTGTTTCATGTGATTGTCACACATCAGTTATTTTCCCTTGTGGGGTTTTAAAACTTGGCTCACTTGTAAAATATTACAGGGAGTAATAACTAAAGTGTGAGAAGGGAGAACTTAATGGGATGAATTAAAAAATGAAGTGACTAAGACTATGCTAAAATAAATAAATATTTCTTTTTCTTTCTTTCTTTCTTTTTTTCCTTTTTTGAGTTGGGGTCTTACTCCATTGCCCAGGTTGGAGTACAGTGGCAAGCTCACGGCCACCTGAGCATTGACCTGCTGGGCTACGGCGATCCTTCTGCCTCAGCCTTCCAAGTAGCCGGAACTACAGGCGTGAGCTACACACTCAGCTAATATACAGAGCTACTTCAATTGGTGTCTCTTGAAAAATGGGAGACTCTGCTGGGCGCAGGTGGCTCAAGCCTATAATCCCAGCACTTTGGGAGGCTGAGGCGAGAGACTGCCTGAGCTCAGGGGTTTGAGAACAGTCTGCGCAACTTGGTGAAACCTCGTTTCTACAATAAATCAAAAAATTAGCCGGGCGTGGTAGTGCATGTCTGTAGTTCCGGCTACTTGGAAGGCTGAGGCGGTAGGATCACCTAAGCCAAGCAGGTCAAGGCTGTTGTGGCCACGAGTATGCCACTGTACTCCAGCCTGGGCGACAGAGTGAGACTCCAACTCAAAAAAAAAAAAAGGGAGACTCTAGCAAATATATATTTAGTGACTTCTAAAAACTCAAAGCTAGAAAGCTCATGTGTTTGTGCAGATGGAAACAATTGTGTAAAAAAACACCTGTCTAGACAGTGGCATTACACAAGCTCCTGACCTTGGGAGGACAGGAGGCCTCATTAAACAAAGCTGGAGGAGAGTGAGGAAAGCTGCCTGTAGTAATTGCTAAGATGCTGACCCCTCATTACTACTCAAAAGACTTATGTTTGAATTTTCACCAACTTTACTTACCAAATCCTCACATCTGAATAGGAGTGGGTTCCGAGCATCAACTATCTGGACCACAATATCACTGAAAAACAAACATGAGACAGTTCAACCACTGGAAAGTGAAAGGGATCACTGGCCATGTAATAATGGCAAGGGTAGCAAACACTTGCTATACATTAGGTATTTGACATATATTAATTTTTTTTTTGAGTTGGGGGGGGTCTCACTGTGTTGTCCAGGATAGAGTGCAGTGATATGGTCATGGCTCACTGCAGCCTCCACCTACTGGGTCCAGGCAATTCTTCCATCTCAGCCTCCCAAGTAGCTGGGACTACAGGTGCATGCCACCATGCCCAGCTAATTTTTAAACTTTTTGGAGAGATGAAGTCTTGCTATGTTGCCTAGGCTAGTCTCAAACACCTGGACTCAAGCAATCCTCCTGCCTTGTCCTCCAAAGTGCTGGGATTACAGGTGTGAGCCACCATGCCCAACTGACATGTATATATGAGGAACTGAGGTTTAAGTAACTTGTCCAAGATCACCAGCTAATAAGTGAAAGAGCCAGAATGAGAACTCAGACAGTCTGGACCAGAGGTCATGCTCTTAAAACCATGACATTCTATCACTCTCATACGGCCTAAAGGGGCTCAGATGTTTTATTGCTAAAGCTTCCACTGTAACTTCTATTAAAGTCTCCTGGTGAGATAAAAGGATATTACAAGTACCTCACTCCAAGGTGAAGGCTACTAAATATTCAGTCCCAAATCTGCACTCATGTTAAAGCCTCAAAAGCTACCATTATTGAAACTAGTATCTATTTAAACCCAGCAATAACAAGAATGCACACTCTTAGCAAACAATCACCTACGAGTTCCAAGAATGTGCTCAAACGGCAAAAATACAAACAGCAAAATGTCAACTTAAGTTGCCATACTGAAGCAGGAATGACAAGTCCAACTTCTCCCATCACATAAGAATACCTACAGCAATAAAAAAACTCTCTGCAGCTGATGACAAGCCCCTTCAATCCCTCACATGTGTAGTGGGGACTATAGAAGCCCACATTGCAATGAAAAAAAAAAATTCAAATTCAGTTCTTGGGAGGATCCTCCCTGACTTCAGCCTCTGTGGCAAGAAGATGTTATAAGTATCAGCTGTGACTGCCACTGGAGGGAAATGAGCTACAGATGCACTACGGCCTCACAGCAAAGTCTGCCCCAAATCCTTATTTGGTTAACAGGCTTTTTCTGAAGTGACACTTTGTGACAATGCTAAACACCAAGGAATCAAGGTTACCATTTAGGACAGGGCTTTTGACAATTAAAAATGCATTTTCTTTCAGAGCAGGTAAAATTTCAGCATAATCCTCTAATGCAAAGAAACTCACAGGCTTGCTAACTTTTGACAAATTGTCTTTTAAGTTCTCTAATCTGATTCTAGTATTTCCTTCTTTAAGGTAATACATTCCCTTGCAAACTAAATATTTAACAGTAAATACAAAAATGATTGCAAAAAGCCCAATACACTAAAACCACAATGTCCACAAACATGATGCCTACCTACCAAACATGTAGAAAGAATAAACCAGTTTAGAAATGGCAGTGAGAAAAGAAGACATATGAAGACAGCTCGACTGTTGTGCTGAAGAGGGAGACAGAGCAGAGTGCAGCTGTGTAGCTGGAAGGTTATACAGCATAGAGGGGTGCCTTATCTTCCTGGAATACAGTGGTCTGCCCTCGATGCCTCCGCAGCTTCCTGCATTTCAATGCCACGTTATATACCAAATTTTTTCTGATAACTGCTACTGGAATTAAAGAGGCAGATGGCTTAGCCAGCCTGTTACCAAACAGGAGACATCTGCTGGGGAGAAGACATCAATAAATATTTCCTGCTAGAAGATGTGGCAGTAGTCACTTTTTAATAAATATTTCTGTGTAATTCAGACCCACTTCCATGTGATGAAACTATATTCCTTGAGTTAGAATCATGTTCTCGCAAAAAGAAAAAAAAAAAAAAAAAAAGAAAGGAGAGGCCAGGGTCGGTGGCTCAGTCAGTAATCCCAGCACTTTGGAAGGCTGAAGCGAGTGGATTGTCTGAATTCAAGACCAACCTAGGTAACTTGGCAAGACCTCATCTTTACAATAAGTAAAAAAAAAAAAAAAAAAATTAGCCTGGAGTTCCGGTTACTTGGAAGGCTCAGGCGGAAAGATGGCCAGAGCCCAGCAGGTTGATGCTAGGTTGGTCATGAGTGTGCCACTGCACTCCAGCCTGGGCAATGGAGTAAGACTCCAACTCAAAAAAAAAAAGGAAGGAGAAATATCACATAATAAAAATAACAGAGCAAGTAATACTGTAATCCAACTGAAGCTGGAAGTTTCGACAAACACAGGCTCACGCTGGCAAAACCAATTGCTAATTTGGGGGCATAAAAAGTGTAAAAGGCCCTTCCTATTAAAGTGAACAAAGATGGTTACTTCTGCTCCCTCTCAAACCCTACAAAAATGAAAGAAAGGGCTGACACTCATTAGGGTAAAGAGAAAAAAAGAATAGCAGCAACTAAGAAATGTCAAACCAACAAGAAGCAAGCCTGTTCCTGCCCCAGAGCCCCAGGGAAGCCCAGGATTAGAGCATCAGCTCTATCCCAAGGCAAGATGAAGGCACAGGGCAGAAGCTAGTCCCACTGTGAGCTCTTAAGTTGGCATCCCTGTTCCAGAGAGGCAACTGCAACCCACCCCACAGCTCCCCTTCCCCATACTAACGGCAGAAAGCTAGAGTTTATTAGAGAGAGTATGAAGCTGAGAAGTTCTAGTACCAGGACCTCAGGCACAGAAAAAGATGGGAAACAGGTGCCACAGCACAAAAAGGGAATCAAACGGAAGCCTATACACTGAACCACGAGGATGCCCAGCCCCTTGCATTATGCCACCCCCTTCAGCCCCATTCCTGACAGATCTTTCTTCTCTTTAAGAAACTGACTGGCCTTGGGGAAATGACCTATAGATACTAACATCTTGGGGTAGTCCAACAAAATAAAACTGACTCCTGCCCACTCATCTCTCAGTGAAGCTCACCAGTTGGCAAACTCCACCTAAACAGGTAGGCCTGTCAATCGGCTTTCTAATGCTTAATTCTTAAATATGAACAGACAACATCACTACACATTTAGGAAGGCCTTATATAAAAGTCAGAAACCAGGATAGAAAAAACGAAGAGAGAGGCAAGATAGATAATAAGATAAGTAGGAGAAAAATCTAAAACAAAACAAAAACTATACTACTTCAGTGGGCACATGGAGGGAGTTCCCTCAAGGTCTGGGCTGCAGTGTTTCTGAGTTTGTTACCGTTTCTCTTTGGAAAGAAGAAAACAGGCATTTTTAGGAGTATGCTAATGGGGCACTGAAGGAGAGACAAGTCTACTCTACTCCACAAATGCTCTCCAGAATGATACTGGGTTTTTCCAAGCCCCATTCAAGCCTGTCTAAATAAAAGGGGCCTGCCAGGGGCCTGTAATCAGCAAGCATCCGCTTTCTTCAAGCTTCGAGATATGGCTTGCTACTCTGACCTCCTCAAACTCCAGCTCAATAGCCCTTTCTCTGTACCCAGAGAACAGAGGGTAGGGGGGCACTTAAGTGACTTTTTAAAAGATACTGAGACATAATTCATATATAAAATTCACCCTTTTAAGCCGGGCTTGGTGGCTCAGCCTGTAATCCTGTGCCTTTGGGAGGCTGAGGTGAGTGGATTGCCTGAGCCCGCAGGTTCGAGACCCGCCCGGGCAACTTGGAGACCTTATCTCTACAATAAATAAAAAATCAGCTGGGCATGGTAGCATGTGCCTGTAATTCCGGCTACTTGGAAGGCTGAGGCTGAAAATCGCCCGAGCCCAGCAGGTCGAGGCTGCAGTGGCTGGGAGTGGCCACTGCACTCCAGTCTGGGCAACAGCGTGAGACTCCAACTCAAAAAAATAAATAAAATTCACCCTTTTAAAAGTATTCAGTAGTTTTTAGTGTATTCACAAAGTTGTGCCGACATCACACTTCTAATTCGAGAACATTTTCATCACGCTAATAAGAAATTTAAGTGACTTTTACAAGTTTAATCCAAGTCCTGTTTTCTTAATAGTAATGCTAAATGTGGTAATGTTCTTTTCTGAGACTCTCAATTAAAATATTCTGTTTCCTAATGTTCCTTCTAGATCCACTTTATAGATTTCAAAGAAAAAACAATAACAACAAAAAACCAGCCTGAAAGTTTCTTGTTAAAAAGCATCGTTTCAAATATAAGGTTCATTTACAGAGTTCTTGAAAATAATATAGAAACTCTCTGAGGAAAACAAAAATCTTTTAACTACCCAGAGATGAGATTAGAGAAAGCTGATTCAACTTCTAACAATCAAGAATTCTCCCTAGTGTTACATGAAAAAGCATGCAAATCTCCCATTCTCAATTTATCAAAATCATTCCCTTCTTTTCAGAGCCCAATTTAAAATATTTTAAAAACCCTTGATTTCTCTCAATTCTTATTAACTGCTTCTTCCTCTTCTATGACATGGTTCACTACCCTTCTACCTGTAACACAGTAGAACTCACACTCCCCTATGAGTCCTACTAGGTGTTGAGTTCTCTGAGTGCAAAGGCTGTATCCCATTCATCTGTGTGCCCAGGAGCATGGTGCTTTGCTTGGCAATTAGTCGAACTGTATGATGAGCTTTGCCATCTGCCTCCTCTCATAACATACATGTTCTCTGTAGGTAGGAACTTACTCTTTTCATATCCATATTTCCCACATTGCCAGTAGGGATTCAATATACACTTGCCGAAATAACTACATAAGTGCTTCAGAATTCATCTTACAGAAAATGTCATTATTCTCACACACCAGTGCACTTATCTAATAACAAAAAAAATCTATATTTAAAAAGAAATATATGTAGTATCATACTTTCAGTTTTTTATAATTCTCAACAGCCCTTTGCATGGCTTAATTCCCCAATCCCGACTCCCAGACCCTAAGCCCACAAACACACATCAACACTCAAATCTAATACACCATATTCCGATGTCATCATTACTCACCTTCTCTCAATTACTCTCCATAGCTGGCGCCAAAAGTCCAAATTTCGCTCAAATGGAGTCAATATCAACTTTTGTTCCTCTTCTAGCCTGTTTTTCAAAGAAGCAGTTTATATCTTTGCCAGATTGCAACAATTTTAAGCAATGTAAATGCTCAAATTCAACACATGAAAAATAAATACTGTACTCAAATACCAACATTCAAATTATTTTTATATACCTCCTGCTGAGTCAATATGAAAATAACACTTATTTATTTGACACGCCACCAATCCAAATTTATCCTTAAGCTATTTAAGCCCTGGAAGTTGATCTATCACACAAAGTCACATTTCTCTCCCATACCTCTCACTGAAAGAATGCAAAGGAGAGCAGTGATCAACTCCAGGGCAGGGCACCCACTGGCCAGAGAAGGGAATGAAAGGAGAGGCCGGGCTCGGTGGCTCAGCAGGTAATCCCAGCACTTTGGGAGCCCGCGGGTTCGAGATCAGCCTGGGCAATCTGGCGAGACCTCATCTCTACTACAAATCAAAAAATTAGCCGGGCGGGGTTGCACATGCCTATAGTTCTGGCTACTTGGGAGGCTGAGGCGGAGGATCACCAGAGCCCAGCAGGTCGACGCTGGGGTGGCCGTGAGCGTGCCACTGCACTCCAGCCTGGGTGAGGAAGTGAGACTCTGATTCAAAGAAAAAAAAAGAAAGGAGAAAAAGCCAGGAACTGAACAGAGTAACCAACTCAGCATCTTTGTGCAAGGATGCACACGCATCCAGTAATGTGTTTGCACATGTATCAACCTGCACTTGTTAGCAGAAGGTTACCATTTCCATTTTAAAGGTAAATCAGAACTTGAAAATGCAAATAGCAATGCAAGCAAGCCAAAATGCTTGAATTCTTGATGTCAAGGCAAATCTTCAAAGAGTCTAATACACACCGGACAAGCTGACGTCTCCATTCTAGAAAGGTATCTTTCTCTGCTTGTTTGAGTTCTTCTGGGCTAGTTTTTTTGTCCCAGTTTGGTCTGAAACAATCAAAAAAGGAAAAAACATTCCACATGTAAGTTACCAAAATAGAGAATTTGGATCTAATAATGGCAGTTGAGAAAAACAGGAAAAACGTAAACACCAACTTCAAAAAATTAACATGCAGTAGCCTTGCAATGTTCCAGATGCTTCTTCAACTTACCTCCTTGGTATACACAAGAACTGTCTGTTTTCTTCTTGGAGCTTCTTAATTCTCTGGCTCTCCTCAAAAGACAGAAGGCCAGTTCTAGCCTCAGGGAGCACAAACTTAATATTAAGTTTCTCTGTTCAAATAAAGAAAAGTATTATTACTCAAGAGAAAATATAGATCCTGAGTGTTGGTCATTTTGATAAACATGGAAAACTAAAACTGAGAGCCTAATGAAAACTTATGCTTTCCTGACTTTAGATTCTTATAGGCTTGGATAAATAATTTTCTACCAAAACTATTCAGAGTTACTTAATCCTTTTTGACAGCCACATAGTATTTAATAGTATATCTATACCACAGTTTATTTAGCCATTTCTTACTACTGAAACATTTAATTTCCAAGTTTTCATTGATAAAATACAGAATCACCCAGGAGCTAGTTAAAAATGCAAATTCTCCAGCTCTAAGCCACACTCACTAAATCTGAAGTTCTGAAAGAAAGCACCAGTAATCTGTGTATTAACAAGTTCTTCAATTAATTCTGCTGCTCTCTACGGTAGATACCAAGAAGTGGGAATGCTGGGTATAGGACACACTATTTTAACATTTTACTTCACTTTATTTCATTTCCTTATTTTTTTGTAGAGACAAGGTCTCACTATGTTGCCCAGGCTGGTCTCCAACTGTTGGGCTCAAGCAGGCTCTCGCTTCATCTTCCCAAAGTACTGTGATTACAGGCATGAGCTAAGGCACCCAGCCAGATATGCAGTTTAAAACTTCTGATAGATTCTGCCAAACCAAATGTTGTCTTTTCAACCTCCTCTCTCTGCTGTCTCTCACCCCATAACCTGTGAACATATATATGTATTTTTTGAGTTGGAGTCTCACTCTGTTGCCCAGACTGGAGTGCAGTGGCATGCTCCCGGCCACTGCAGCCTCGACCTGCTGGGCTCTGGCAATCATTCCACCTCAGCCTTCCAACTAGCTGGAACTACAGGCGTGCACTACTTCTTTTTATTTATTGTAGAGATGAGGTCTTGCCAAGTTGCCCAGGCGGGTTTCGAACCCGCGGGCTCAGGCAATTCACTCACCTCGGCCTCCCAAAGTACGGGATTACAGGTGAGCCACCAAGCCCGGCGAACATACTAATAGTAACCTTGATCCTACACACACTTTTCTTTCCTTGCTATAGTCAAACATCTCTGAAGGACACAACATGCTCATTAGTCTATTTCCTCACCCCCACCCCATTTCTCAAGAATCCTCTTGAGGCTCTACCATTCCACCAAACTCTGTCCTGCCAGAGATTACTAATGACTTAAAAAAAAAAAAAAGCTTTATCAAGATAAAATCCACATACCATGCCATTCACTCATTAAGCATACATTCAGTGATTTTTAGTATACTCACAGAGCTGTACAACCATCACCACAATCAATTTTGGAATACTTTCATCATCCCCAAAGAAACCTTTACTCATTAGCAGTCACTCTCCATTCCTCTGACCCCAGGTAACCACTAATCTACTTTCCATCTCTAGATTTGTCTATTTTAGATTTTTCATATAAATGGAATTGTATAATATGTAGATTTTTACATCTAGCTTCTTTTACTTAGTATGTGTTCAAGGTTCATCCATGTCATAGCATGTATCAGAACTTCATTTCTTTTTGTGGCCAGATAATATTCTGTTTAAACAATGTACACTGTTTATTCATTAGCTGATGGTCATTTGGGTGTTTCCACTTTGTGGTTATTATGAATAATGCTGCTATGAATATTCATGTACAAGTTTTTATGTAATGTTTTCAATTCTCTTAGGCAGGAGTAGGACTACTACATTGTATGGTAATTCCATGTTTAACCTTTTGAGGAACAGCCCAAATGTTTTGTAAAACAGCTGCACCATTTTACACTCCCACCAGCAATGTATAATGTTCTATTTCTCTACATCCTCACCAAAATCTGATGTAGTTTTTCTAATTTTAGCCATCCTAGTGGGTGAAGTGGTATCTCACTGTGAAACCCAGGAGTTTATTCTTGTCTCCTCACTCTTTACTTACTCTATCCTCTCCATCATGTCTGGTTTATTCTAGCTCGTTTATGTTCTTACTCCAATTCTCTTTCCCATTCTTGACTACTTCTATTTCAGTTCTGGTGTGCTTCTCTTGCTAGACTAAAACAACAGTCTCCTAGCTCATCTTTCTTCTGTAAAAGTCATCAGTGATTCTATAAAAAAATGAAATCTATACCGAGTGCGGTGGCTCACACCTGTAATCCCAGCACTTTGGAAGGCTGAGGTAAAAGGACTGCTTAAGCCCAGGAGTCTGAGACCAGCCTAGGCAACATAGTGAGCCCCTGTCTCTAACAACAACAAAAATTCATAAATGAGCTGAGTGTGGTGGCATGCACCTGTAGTCCCCACTACTTGAGAGGCTGAGGCAGAAGACTCGACTGAGCCCAGAAAGTGAAGGCTGTGGTGAGCCATGATGAAGCCAATGTCCTCCAGTCTGGGGGACAAGAGTGAGACACTGTCTCAAAAAATTAAAGTAAAAAATGAAATTTGGTACAGCATTGGAGATATCTGCACTCCCATGTTCACTGCAGTATTATTCACAATAACCAAGATATGGAATCAACCTAAGTAGCCAACAACAGATAAATGGATAAAGAAAATGTGGTATATGTATATATATAATATTATTCCACCTTTAAAAAAGGAGGCCGGCGCGGTGGCTCAGCCTCTTAATTCCAGCACTTTGGGAGGCGGAGGCAAGAGAACTGCCTGAGCCTGGGGATTCGAGACCAGCCTGGGTAACTTGGTGAGACCTCGTCTCTACAATAAATCACAAAAGCTAGCTGGGTGTGGTGGCATGCCTCTGTGGTTCCAGCTACTTGGAAGGCTGAGGCGGAAGGATCGCCTAAGCACAACAGATAGAGGCTGCAGTGGCCATGAGCGTGCCACTGCACTCCAGCCTGGGTGACAAGAGTGAGACTCCAACTCAAAAAAAGAAAAAAAAAAAAAAGGAAAAGAAGGAAATCCTAATATTTATGACTTGAATGAATCTGGAAGACATTATACTAAGTGGAAATAAGCCAGCCACAGAAAAACAAAACTGCATGATCTTACATGTGGAATCTAAAAAAGTTAACCTCACAGAAGCAGACAGAGAACTGGATAAAGAAAAATGTGGTACATATATATGATGGACTATTACACAGCCATAAAGAAGTACAAAATTATGGAGTTCGCAGCAACTTGGATAGATTTGGAGTCTATAATACTCAGTGATCTATAAGGATACCTGATCTCAAACCAGGCAAAGTGGGGACCAAAGGGAGGTCCAAACTTTACCTGTACAGTGACCACTTATATACCTAATCCTGAATTGTACCTCACATTTTTAAAATTAGAAAATAAAAATAAATAAATAAATAAATAAGCAGAGAGAGAATGGTGGTTACCAGGGGCTGGGGAGTGGGGAAAATAGGAAGATACTGGTCAAAGGGTACAAAATTTCACTTAGGCTGGATGAATAAGTTCTGGAGATCTAGTATCCAGCATTGTGCCTATAGTTAATAATCATGTACTGTACACTTGAAATCTGCTAATAGTAGATCTTAAACACACTCATCACAAGAAAACTATGTGAGGTGATAGATATGTTCATTACTTTACTGTGGCAGTCACTTTACAATATATACATTATAACCAAATATCACATCATACACCATACCTGTATATAATTTTTAGCTGCTGATTATGCCTCATTAAAGCTGGGAAAAAATCCCCTCCCCCAGAACTACTAAAAAACGATATCTGAAATCATGTTGTACACTTGCTTAAACCCTGCAAAGCCCACCCTAAATCTTTATCCTAACAGACTCTGGCTCTTGCCCACCTCCTCAGTATTTGGCTCATCACATCCTGCGCCCATACCAGCAAAGCCAAACTGTTAGCCACTTTCTGATCCACATCAGTTAATCAGAACTAATGGTTTGAGTCCTCTGCTTGCCTGTATGAAAGGCCCTGTATCCTCTCACCTGTCCTTCTATCACCTTCTCATTGATCAAGGGTCAGCCCCAGACGGAAATGTGACCAATGTTATATGTACTCAGCAATAAACTTACCAGCTATAAACTCTGTTCCAGCAAGTTCTGCAGTTGCAAGGAAATCATCAAGGGAGCTCTGTTCAGTCACCGACTGAAGATTAAGGCGACCCCAATCATAGCCATCATTCAGTTCACTTGTGTGCAACTAGGAGTAAGACACAGGGCAATAAATACCGCTGCTCTCTTCTGCTCTGGACATCCAAACAAGCTCAAAACTTCCTTGCATCCATTCTATGGTCTTGGGGTTGGTTGTAGCCCCTTTGGAACCAATACTACTAATAGTTAACATTTAAAGGAGCACTGTCTTACTTCATGATAGGCACTTTCCCTTTATCATTTCATTAACTTTCAAAATCTCTTTTTTTTTTAAAGCAGGATTTGTTGAGAAAAGCTCCCACAGTGGGAGGGGACCCGAAGGGGTTGCCCAATTTTCAAAATCTTTTGTAGTGAATTTACTGTATCTCTATTTTACTGATGAGGAAGCTTAAACAGATAAAATAACTTGCCCATAGTAGAAAACTAAGTGGTAGAGGTACAATTCGAACCCAGACTGTCTGATTCTGCTAGTTATGGTTAGTGAAGACTTTTTGATAGAGTCCCACAATAAAACAATACATTTTACATAGTGACTCAAAGGTGTGTGATACACACAGTGACACAAATGTGCAAATGTCATTCAGTATAGTAAAATGGAAACAACAGAATTCTGAAGCAAGTTACCCTATTACATGTAATACACTCTGTTATCTCTTATTTATTTATTTATTTTTGAGTTGGAGTCTCACTCTGTCGCCCAGACTGGAGTGCAGTGGCCGCTCCCGGCCACTGCAGCCTCCACCTGCTGGGCTCCGGCGATCTTTCCACCTCAACCTTCCAAGTAGCTGGAACTACAGGTGCACGCTACCACGCCCGGCTAGTTTTTTGATTTATTGTAGAGATGAGGTCTTGTCAAGTTGCCTAGGCGGGTCTTGAACCCGCAGGCTCAGGCAATCCACTCACCTCGGCCTCCCAAAGCGCAGGATTACAGGCTAAGCCACTGAACCCGGCCTGTTATCTCTTATTTTACCTCACTGGGATAAAAAAATTCTAGTTGCAAACTACTAAATTGATATCCAAACACAACCCAGAGTTTGATAAACACCATTCTAAGCTATATGTTTATTTATTTATTTTGAGTTGGAGTCTCACTCGGTCGCCTAGACTGGAGTGCAGTGGCCGCTCCCGGCCACCGCAGCCTCGCCTGCTGGGCTCCGACAGTCCTTCCGCCTCAGCCTTCCAAGTAGCCGGAATTACAGGCATGCGCTACCACGCCCGGCTGATTTTTCGATTTATTGTAGAGATGAGGTCTCGCTGACCAGGTGGGTCTCGAACCCGCGGATTCAGGCAATCCACTCACCTTAGCCTCCCAAAGGCGAGGGATTACAGGCTGAGCCACCGAGCCTGGCTATATGTTTAATACAGGTATAAATAAATGAAAAAAAAAAAAATAATGGCCAGAAGTGAGGTAGTTTTTCCTAGGTTACAGAATCAGTAAAAGTAAGAATAAGGATTAGAATCCAGTTTTTTAGAATTCATATTCCAGAAAAACTGAAAAGAAAAAAAAAAATAGAATTCATATTCAATTTCCCATTATTTCCTAAAAGCTACATTAATAACAAGTTGCTTCAAAACCAATAAAAATGACCAGTAATCTAATGTCTGAGTAACTCTGACCTGATGAATACTCTAGGCACTGTATGCTGTTTACTGCGCAGACTGTATGGATGGAAACCAGATGGTGGAGAGCGGTGCATTGATTTTTAGCACCAGGGACACACTTAATTCTTGCACAGGATCTGAGAACTCGGTATTTTCTCAAATATCTGGGGGAATGAATGGCGAAAATAACGACTAGACTGATTAACATAAGTCAAACCACTTCATTCATTTTTTTAAGGATCCTACTTTTGAGTTCCCCTAGACCCAGAGAAATATTAGGTCCTGTCACACCTTTGGAAATGAACGGTTCATCTCTGAGCTAACCCACTAGGTGGAATAACAAGGGTGAAGGAGGAATCTGGGTTATTTTGTATTTCTAGCAACAACTAGCCGCTTCTGAAGGACTAATTATTTGAACAGATCAATACAGAGTAAGTTGTCTTCTTCCTGCTCAGGAACTTCCAAGCGCTCCCACGGCTTCTAGGGCAAAAACCAAATTGTGTTAAAGACATTCTGGCACTCAAGCTTCTTCACGGTCTCATCCCAGCCTCATCACCACACTAGCCCGCCTTTCAAGAGTCTACCTTTAGCCGGGCTCGGTGGCTCAGCCTGTAATCCCGCGCTTTGGGAGGCTGAGGTGAGTGGATTGCCTGAGCCCACGGGTTTGAGGCCCGCCTGGGCAACTTGGCGAGACCTCATCTCTACAATAATAATAATAATAATAATGATGATGATGAATTAGCTGGATGTGGTAGCGCGCCTGTAGTTCCAGCTACTTGGAAGGCTGAGGTGGAAGGATCGCCGGAGCCCAGCAGGTCAAGGCTGCGGTGGCCGGGAGCAGCCCCTGCACTCCAGTCTGGGCGACAGAGTGAGACTCCAACTCAGCAAAAAAAAAGTCTACCTTTGTGCTCTGTGCCTTGCTAGGGGGAGGACCTGCCTCTCGGCCTGGCACAAACTCCAACTCATCCTTCAGAAACCGGCTTAGGCGTCACTCCTGGAAACTTTATCCGACTTTGACGCCGAATGTTGCAGCACTCCGGCTCTCAAAACCAGACAGGAAAGGTAAGAGAGAGGACATGGGCTGCCTTACCCAAGAATCAGTGTGACGGTGGCTACGGCTCCGCTGAGTCTGATGGCGGATGAGGGCCCGTCCCAGCGACCCACCACCCGGCGCTCTCCGCCGACCCATAGCAACGCCGTGGTCTCACAAATCGTCTCCGATCAGCGCATGCGGCTTCCGATACTCAGTGTTCGACTCCCAGAAGTGACGTGTGAGCGAGTCCAAGCAATTCAGGCCCGAAATTGAGAGGGGAAAGAAGAATGGCTTGTTTCAGAATGCTCTTTGAGTTTACCAGTATTATAGACTATAAATATAAAAATGGTTCTTGGAACTTTACTATGGATGCCACTACGAATGTCTCAAATTTGGAGAGAACGATCGAGTTAAACGAATGGTGCATTCCCATTTGTGCGTCGGTCTTTAGCGTTCGGCGAGAAACTAGATCAAATGGAAAACACGGCCCTTCATGTTCACGGCTCTGACCCCGCCTCCCGCTGTTTTGGTCAGGAGGAGGCGGAGACTCGGAGGGAAGGGTGTGTCTGTGACGCGAGGGGGGCGAATTTCCCAGCGCTGGTTTTCCGAAGTGTGCCCTCGCCAAAGTCTAGCCTTACAACCAAATAATTTGTTGTTTACCTAGCCTTCTCCAGCTGCGAACTGGGGAGAAACGTCTCCGCCTGGATGGGAGTTCGGAATGGGAGGTTGCATAATATTTCCAGAGTTTGGCAAAGTTGCAAGGAAAGCCAGTAGGGCCTGATTTATGCTTTAAAATTAAAAAATGTTAACAGTTCTAGTTACAATTTCATTAGCATTTTCCTGTAATTAAAAGTAAAGTGAAAACAGTGAGCTGGCTCCACTCCTAGGGGCTTTTGCTTCTCACTTGAAGGTTAAAATTTTTCTGTCAGGTGGGAATAGAAAGTCAGTTTAGAGTGGTGTGTGTGCTGGAATGTTCTCATTGATCTTGAGACCCACCTCATTGTTAGGATGCTCAGAGAGAGGAAGCACCTTGCGCATAGATCGAATATGTGCAGGGTCAGGAATCAAACCCAAGGCCTGTTACTATCTTATACATTCCTGGGGAGAGAGGGAATGAGGAATGTTAGCATGCATTTTAGAAATCATAGGATCAAGGCCGTGTGCGGTGGCTCAGTCTGTAATCCTGGCATTTTGGGAGTCCAAGGCGGGAGGATTCCTTGAGCCCAGGAGTACGAGATCAGCCTAGGTAATATAGGGAGACCTCATGTCTACATAAAAATTTTGAAAATTAGCTAGGCATGGTGGTGCGTGCCTGTAGTCCCAGCTATTTAGGAGGCTAATGTGGAAGGACTGTCTGAGCCCAGGGGGTGGAGGTTATGGTGAGCCATAATCATGTCCGCTGGAGCAACAGAGAGAGACCCTGACTCAAAAAAAAAGGATGCATAGGATCGAAGCAGTGGAATCTAGCATAGTTTGATTTAGCCATTCCATTATGTATACATACATCAAAACATGCTGTGTACCATAAACGGTATACAATTTTTACTTCTTAATTAGAAACATTAAAAAACCAGAAATCATAGGATCAATAAGAATCTATTTAACTCAGGGATTCATGCTTTTATGTACACACAAATTCCCAGGGACTCTTGTTAACAGGCAGATTCTGATTCATCAGGTCTGTGGTGAGGCCCAGGATTATGTTTCTAACAAGTTTCTGGGTGATGCCTATGCTGCTGGACCATGGGTCACACCTGGAGTAGCAAGAGTAATCCACTCCCTTCTTGTGTAGATGAAGACACTGAAATGGACAGGCTAAAGATCAGCAGGTTAGCTGCAAACAAAACTGGGTCCAGACCACTCACCCATTTCTGAATTCTCTGCCCAGCTCTCTGTGTACTACACTTCACTGCTGGCTCTTACTAAATTGGAGTGAACTTTGGGAAGTGCCCCAAGGGATTGCCGACAAGCTGTGTAGTAGTTGGCAAGGCAATGAGAAGGCAGTGCTCACAGATGAGCAAAGGATGCACTAGAACATAAGTTCTCCTGTTTCCTAACTTAGAAGCAATATATCTTTAAAATTCCTAAACACACTCTCCAGAAGTATAATATGAAGATCTATGGAATAGATTTAGCAGATAGCTTTTGGTATTGTCTCCAGAGCTGAGTGTTAGAGATAAAAGTAACTCATGAAGGAAGATTAAGTGGATACATATAATAATAATAATAAATAATAATAATAGATGATATAAACAAACTCACCATCTCATTCCTAGAGCTCAAATGGGACTTCACTTTAGTTTCCTTTTCCAGATTTTGTTACCTCCAGTGACTAAAAAAATAAACACTCTGGGCTCAAAATTTTTTTGACCTAATAAACCAAATCTATAATTTAACAAGGACTGGTGAGGCTTCAAGAGGACATTGACACTATAAGATTAATTAGCAGCAACTATTCCTAGCTGACAAATAAAGCATAGATAATTATTTTTCCCCTCTTTTTAAAATTTTAAAGATGTGGGGTACAATTCAGGGTTAGGCATACAAATGTTCATTATGTAGGTACCCTTGTTGATGAGGTGTGCCCCTCCCTCCCCTGGCAGTTTCCCTCAACTGCCAATCCCATCCCCCCCTCTCCTGGCAGTTTCTCACTACTGCCAATCTCTTTCTTTAGTATTATGATAATTGTTCAAGGTCCGCTTATGAGTGAGAACATATGGTACTCTGTTCTTTGTTTCTGTGATAAATCACTGAGTGTGATAGACTCTAAATCCATCCAAGTTGCTGCAAAGTTCATATGTTTATCCTTTTTTATGGCTGCATAATATTACATTGTGTATATATACCACATTTTTTAAATCCAGTCCAGCTTCGACGGGCAGCATGTTGGGTCCATGTTTTTGCTATTGTGAATAGAGCAGCAACAAACGTGTGTGCTGGTGTCTTTTTTGTAGAATGATTTGAGTTCCTCTGGGTATATTCCTAATTGGGTCATATGGAAGGTCAATTTCTAGTTCTTTCAGAAATCACCACACTGTCTTCCAAAGAGGTTGCACTAGTTTGCATTCCCACCAGCAGTGTAGAAGCGTTCCTTTTTCTCTGCATTCTTACCAGCATGTGTTGTTGTTTGTTTTATTAATGATGGCCATTCTTACTGGGGTTAGGTGGTATCTCAATGTGGTTTCGATTTGCATCTCTCTGATGGTGAGTGAGGCTGAGTACTTTTTCATATGTCTGTTGGCTGCCCGTATCTCTTCTTTTGAGAAGTGTCTATTCATGTATTTTGCCCACTTTTTTTTGTTTTTGTTTTTCTGGGGGTTGGAGTCTCACTCTGTCACCCGGACTGGAGTGCAGTGGCCGCTCCCGGCCACCGCAGCCTCTACCTGCTGGGCTCCGGCGATCCTTCCGCCTCAGCCTTCCCAGTAGCCGGAATTACAGGCACACGCTACCACGCCCGGCTGATTTTTTTATTTATTGTAGAGATGAGGTCTTGCTGCCCAGGCGGGTCTCAAACCCGTGGGCTCAGGCAATCCATTCACCTCAGCCTCCCAAAGGCGCGGGATTATAGGCTGAGCCACTGAGCCCGGCTTTTTGCCCACTTTTTAATGGAGTTGTTTGTTTTTTTCTTTTTGGCACATTTGAGTTCCTTACAGATCCTAGATGATAGGCCTTTGTCAGAAGTACAAATGTTTTTCCCATTCTGTGGACTGTCTCCCTGCTCTATTGATGGTTTCCTTTGCTTTGCAGAAGCTCGTCAGTTTGATGAGGTCCCACTTGTCTATCTTATTTCTTATGGTGTGGGTACTTAGGGTTTTGATCAGGAATTGGTTGCCAGTTCCAGTTTCCATAAGGGTGTCTCCTGCATTTTCTAAGAGTCTTACTTATAGTTTGAGGTTTTATGTTTAGGTCTTTGATCCATTTAGAGTTAGTTTTTGTGATAGGTAGGTGTCCTGTTTCAATCTTCTGCATGTGATCAGCCAGTTTTCCCAGCACCATTTACTAAATAGGTTCTCCTCTCCCCAGTGGTTGGTGGTGAAGGCTTTGTCAAGGATGAGTTGGTTGAGAAATTCAGGCTTAAGCATAGATAATTCTAATGTTTCTCCCAAGAAGTTACTGAAATCTACCAATAACAACTGAGTCTCAGTGTTCTTATCTGGTTAATGGGGATAATAATAATTCCTCTCCTGCAGAGGTAGTAAATGAAATAACCCTGCAAGATCATTGCCTGGTGGTTTGCAGGGGAACCAAATGGCACATCTGAGCCTTTTTTTTTTTTTTTTTTGTCCTTCAACAATTGAGCAATGAAGGTGAGAACGCAGTTGGATAATTGTACAGTGAAGAAGGCAAGGAGAAAGGGAATTGAGGGTGTTGAGCAAAGATCATGGGACCAAGATTAAGAGGAACGAGGGGAGATTGTGGGGGGAGTGATGACGGTGGTGATGAAGGGTGCGGCCAGGTGCTGGCTGCTGCCCGAGTGAGGGGGTTGCGAAGATGAATCAGTTCGGGTCCCTGCCCTCCAACTACAGAAGTCATTTCACCCACACACTTCAGGAACAGCACAACCCAGCCCAACTCCTCTCACCACTGTGTCTGCCGGTGGAAACTCTCACCCCACCAGGCTTGTGTCTGGAAGAGGAGTCAGATCCTCCTGATTCCCCTACAGAGCCTACCCCTTCTGCTGAAGCCAGGATTCTCAAGTAACTGACCCCTGAAGGAGGTTGCATTGATTTGGGGATTGGAAACCTTGTATCCAGCACCCAAATAGCAACACAGGGAGTGTTTCTCATTGATGGTGTTGCCTAATGCTTGATTTACTGCATCTGAACAATTGTAGCTACAAGCCCTGAAACCCACACCCAGGAGCAAACTTCAGAGTCACTTTCAGCTCTCCAGTTCCACACTGTTGTGCCTCCTGCTCCTGGGCTCCACATCTATCTGGGGAAGGAAAGAGAAGAGTGAGAGGGTTTCTGCTTTCATGCCTTGACCCAAAGTGTCAGTGGCAGAAAGATTGTTCCAGAGCAAGCTTACAGCCCTGTCCCTCCTTCTTTCTCATACACTGCACCTCCTTCTACAAGGACATTAAAGCTGTTTGCATAAGACTGAAAGTTGTGAAAATAGAAGTCTGGCAGTCTCTGCAGAGAATCATTGAATCAGTAGGGAAACTCCCTACAATTATCTGCCACTTTCAGTTAATCTACTGAAAATGGGTGGATTCTCATACATGAGTGAGTTTCAATAATTCAGCAGACCAAAAAGTTGTTTTTAACTGACACATAATAATTGTGTGTATTTATGGGGTGCAGTTTCAATACGTGCCTATAGTATGCAATAATAAAATCAGGGCATTTAACATAATCCATCACCTCATATATTTATCATTTCTTTGTGGTGAGAACATTAAAAAAATCCTCTCTTTTAGCTATTTTGAAATGTACAACACAAAGCTGGGCATGGTGGCTCACA